CCCCCATAAGCCCCCTCCCCCGTGCCCCCAGGAACATCATTTCCCAGGGGGGTTGAAGCAGGGGAGATGAGGGCAGGAGCTTCCTTCCCACCTCTCCTGCGACTGGGCTGACCTTGTCGTTGATGAGCAGCTCCAGGGGGTTAGTGCCCCACTCCAACAGCACAATCTCATTGGCTTGGCTTGGGACAGAGTAGGAGAAAGGGGTGCCAAGCCCTGCTACAGCCTTGGACTTCAGCCACATGCAGATGGTGAAGGCATAGAGCTCCGGCAGGCTCTTCTTTATGCGGGCGTACATGTAGTTGTTCTGCACTGGGATGGTCACCTTGAAGGCATCAGGAGGGCTGTAGCCCAGTGGTCCTATGTATCAAGGTTGGGGAGGAGAGAAGAGGGTCAACAACAGTAGTTGGGATGAGGATGACCTGTCCTGGGGCTCCCCTGGAGATGCACCTTGGGCTAAGGACTCCCCTGCATTCATCCATGTCCAGTAGGACTCACCATGCTCCAGCTCCATCACCCGGTTCTGGAGGGAGTTCAGCTCCTTCTCGATGTTGTGCTGCTGCTGGCTGCGGTCAGTGTTGGCAGCTTGGCGCTCCTTCTGCAGGGTCAGGATCTTAGAGAGGAGCTGCTCCTCCAGCTGCTCCATCTTGGTGTGGAGGGCATTGCGAGTGCTGGGGCAGTGGGTGCTGAGCCGTTGGCACGGGCTGGCAGCTCCTGCTGCACTTTGGCGGCACCGCAATGGAGGAGAAAGGAGGCAGAAAGGGAAAATTCAGTGTGGCGTCACTGTAAGAGGTTAAATAAGGACTGCCAAACCCGCACCACTGCAGGGAGTGCAGGGATGGCAGTCCTATATCCGCACTGGGGTCTTCTCCAAGAGCCTCCAGCTGACTTTGTACCTCCCCTCTCAGAGCCCCCATTGGGTTCATTACTGCAAAACGAAGTTTGGCTGCTCTTAATGACTTTCTGCCACCAGAGACAGAGCGAGGATGGGATGCTTGGGTCATCCCTTGGCTCTGCTCCTGCAGGCAGCCTCCCACGGTGAAGGAACTACGCAGGAAGGACCTCGGAGCTCCCTCCCTGTGGGTCCTGAGGCACATTAGCACCACATAACAGGGCTGTAATCCTCTTAGCCCCGCTCAGCCAGCATGCGGGGGTGAGTGCACGTGTGCCTGGTTGGGCAGGTAGCCCTCTCTGTAAGCCAGCCTCTCCCAGGCCATCGGGATACCATGGAGAAGTGGGACCAGTGGCCAGGTTGTCATGCCTCTAGTCCTCAAGACATGACCCATCTCCTGGGGACATTGAGCATGTCTTGTCCCCATCAATGTTAACATCCAGACCAAAACTCTTCCCGTGAAAAATCCAACACATCACCTGGTGGAGATGCTCCCAGCTGCTACTGCACTCTGCAAAAACCCCAGATCCTACCTCACTGTGAGACCTCATCCCAGCTGGAATAAAACCATGCCGGAAGGGAGAAAGTGACTCTTTGCCATGCTCCTGGAATTTCTCTGTAAATAGGACCCCTCTCTTCCCCATGTCCTTAGGGCACTAGTCTCTCTGCCTTGGCTCCGTGCTGCCAGACCTTCCCAAAGGTGCTGGAGCAGCTGTGGTGGTCCCTGCCTTGTCTGTTATGGCACTTTGAGGGTTCTGCATGGCTGCTTCAGCCCTAGACATTCATGTGACTTTTGCTTGTGGGACGTGGGGGGATGCCATCCTTGCTGATGTCAACAGCCTACCCCTGCCCTCAGAGCTGGCTTCTAGCCAGCTTTTCCTTATATCCCACTTTTCCAGGCTGGACGGGACCTGATAATCTTGCACACAGAGCTGAAGCAGGGAATGCCTGCCTATGTCATGCCCAATCTTGATGATACCCATTGTGAACAACAGAGCGGAGAGGAAGACTGGAGCAAATCCAGGTTTGGCTGAGCAGGATGCAGCCTTGGTGGATGGGAACTGCAGGGAGACAGAAAATGGGAAGATAGTGTTGGTGTGAGCACAAATGTACTTGCTCTGGCCAGCAACATACTCAGGCTACAAATAAAAGGGACACTGTGATGCCCCAGGGTCTGCAAGAGCTGCCAGCAGGGTCTGCCGGAGCAAACCCACAGGTTCTGTGAGGAAAACCAATGCAGAGAAGCAAAACCCAGCAAGGGAAGAGAGGCTGTGCAGGGGACATCTGTCAGCCCTGACCAGACGCCAGCCCTCACTGCCGGAGGAATGCTCTTGCAGAGAGCAAAACCTCTCTGGGAAGGAAAAAGTGCCCAGCAAAGGGCATCCTACCTTTGGTCTTTAAAAAGCTGATGGGGAAAGGGCTTTAGCTCTTTTGCTTTTATGTTTTCGGGGGTCTTGGAGACCCGCTGGTGCAACTGGATGAAAGACAAGGGAGGGATGGCAGGAGGGAAAGAAAGATGAGTGGAAAGGTTAATTCTCATTCTCCTGGCAGGGAGAATTCCCACCCGGGGCTGTCTGCATTTGTACCCAGGCAGAGCTGGCTGGGTTGGCAATGGGCAACACAGGTGGGATGGGGTTGCCTTTGCCTCTCTGTCCGTGTTCTGTGGGCTCCAAGAGCTTTTCTCATCCCTTCAGGCCACCTGGCTACCGTGGAGGCTGGCACGCTCCTGTCTGCCGCACGCTTTGATTGCTCGAGCTGCGGGTTTGGAGCCTACGTCCCTGCTTTCATGCATGGCTCCATCTGTTAATGACAAAAAAAGACAAGGCTGGGAGCTTTTGTCACTCTCACTAGCCCCCGATAGCCTGCCCTACATTATTCACTAGTGACTGAGCGCTTTTTCTTCCTCCCCCTTCCTCCTGCTTTTCTCCCTGCTGCTATTTTCTTCCCTCTAACTTTTCTCCCTATGGCTTTTTCATTTCTCTGGCTTCATAGCATCTCCTCCTGATGCTCCCCTCTGTGCACACACACACTGTCTCTCCCCTTTTGTTCAATTTCTTCCCCCTTCCTGAGTTCTTCCCTTTCCAGCCCTCTCTCCAGCTCCTGCTGGCTCCTCCAGCCTGGCAGCCAGGACACTGAGAGCCAAACCCACACGGCCAACTGAACCACGTTCCTCCTGGAAGGGATGCAGCCAATACCCTCATCCAGCAGAGTTTGGGGGCCATCCCAGCAGACACCATCCCCATCCCCACAGCCAGACCATGGCTGGACAGGAGATTGGACTCCACATTCTACCCTCTGCAACCAAGATGTGCTGTATGATCCCCCTGATGCCAACCTAGGCTGCATCCCCCAACCATCCTCATCTCCGAGCTGCCACTCAAGCATCTTTCTCCCAAACCAAATAATTTGCAAAATTATTAGTGGTAGATGTGCAGCTGTTATTTACTGGTGACCTTTGGGGAGGGGAGAGGAGGAGAGAGGAGGGGAAGCGCCTTCTCCCCGGCTGTTCGGCAGGCGCCTGGCTTCCCATCTGCCGCCGCGCAGGCAGCGGGCAGCGGGTGTGGGGGAGGCTCGTTCGACGCTTTTTGGCCACCAGAACCGGCAAAAAGGATTGAGAGATGCCAGGTAATA